CTCACACTGCAGCTGAGGACGGTGGGGGGTAAGGAAGAGGAAGCTGCACATAAGGACTTAAATATGCTTCTTAAGGGGCGCCTGGGTGGGTCAGTTGGTTAACAGTCCGACCTCAGCTCAGGTCATGATCTCACGGTCCGTGAGTTCAAGCCCCGTGTCGGGCTCTCTACAGTCAGTGCAGAGCCCTCTTTGGATCCTCTGTCTCCCTCTCTCTCTGCACCTCCCCTGCTTGCCCTTCTCTCTCAAAAATAAATAAACCTAAATAAATAAATAAATATTCTTCTTTAAAGTCACTCACCAAAACGCCTAAATTACTAACCCTCCCATCCCTATCTTCAGCTGGCCAGATTTTAACAGTCTGCCCATCCAAATAAAAGTACACACAAATCACAGATATTGAGATAGAGGCAATTAGAAGGTCTGAAGATAAGTTATGGAAGGATAATAATAAAGTTAGCTCCAATGGCTTTGAAGAAAATTAAAGCAAAGAAGTTTTAGATAGATAGCAAACTTATTCTCTCCCAAATCTATCAGGCCCAGTAACAGGAAAAAGTCATTTGGATGCTTGGGGTTTAGAATTAATACGGACTCTGCATCATTGGAGGCATGAGCTCTCTTACAAAAATGCCACTTCAATCTACGACATTCTTACCATGCAGTAGACAAGAATTTTTATTATTATTATTTTTTAATTAATTAATTTATTTTTTTTGCAGAATACACAAACTGAGATTTGGTCAAGTTACAAATTGGTGTCTGGGTCTCAGAGAAACAGTCCTAGAGCCTCAAACTCAAAAACATTTGGAAGACTTATTCATCACAGCACACTGACCCATTACTAAGAAAAAAAAAAAAAAAAAAAAGCACTTAACAGCTATATGAAGAGGTGGGAGACCAAGAAAGACCAAGGGAGACCAAGAAAGACCAAGAGCTGAGTCGTAATTAGCAGAACAAATCAGGGTGCCAGTTTTAATAAGTCCAGAAATTGGTTTAAGACTTCTTTAAAAATGTAAATCTACCCCTAATTATCTGAATGATGACGCTAATCTATTTATAAAGAATACAAACGCCTTTGACTGAATTGCAGCTCTGAATTCAATTGAAGGGTACAGCTGACGAGGGGAGGCAAGCCAAGCCCAGCAGAGCTAAGGTTTTCCAAAGCAGTTTCTGGAACCTGAGACTTAACATTTAATTCCACAGCAAATGTGCTAAGGTGCAGTACATTTTAAGTGGGTGTTGACTTGGATGGGCTGAAACCATGTTACTCGCAATAGCAATTTTTGAGAAGAAAGGAGCCAAACGTACATAAAGCTGTTCGCAATTTAGCAAGTACATAAAATTACAGATTGCAAACACACAACACAACGATGCAATCTGCCGTTCCGGAGGTCAGATGCAAATTCTCCTTCCCAAGCAAATACATATGTTGGGCTGGAAAATCATGGAAGATCTTTACTTTCCTCAAATGCAGCAGGTACAGTTATGACTGTAAAGAACTGATTTCTGAAATTACAGTATTTAAAAATAAAATGAAAGGAAGATCACCAAAGAGATCTGTGTTCAATATATGGGGTGTGTGTGTGTGTGTGTGTGTGTGTGTGTGAGAAAGAGAGAGAGAGAGAGAATGCATTTCTGTATGAGAGAGCTCTCCGCTTAACATTTACATAAGGTTAATATAAAAAAAAACTGTATTTGGATTAAAACCAGAACACTGCCTAAAGAGGACATCAGTTACGAACAAACACTACATGCAGAGATCTCTTAAGATAATACCTTTCCTATTTTCTTCGCACGATAGTTTAGGCCCCATCAAGAGAGGCTTAAGGAATACATTTCAGAACAGACTCAAATGAAGATCTGTACCCACCGCAGAGGACGTGTCAGAAATCCACACCCAGCAGTGAACTAGAAAAACACTTCAGCGGCTCCTGTCAAGTCCTACTCAGGATTAATAGTAAAGAGAAATATTTCTTAAAAACACACCGGCTTCGACTCACCAGGGCATGGAAGGATGATACAGAGAAGATTCCAAGGCGGCCCATTGCCACTTTCGTTGGTCGGCTTGCAAAAGCAAGTAGCCTTTTGGGGTTTGGCAGTTCCCCACCTTGGAGGCTAGCTAAGTAACAGCGGTAACGAAATAGGTCCATTTGGAACTGCTCGAGATTCTGCTCCCAAACGAAGATCTACGGTGGTGAAAATATGGAAAAAGGAAAGGCGAGGAAAAGGGAAAACAAGTGTTAACAGCTTCATCCCACACGAATGTTACAAAACCACACGTTGTCAAGGTATTGATTTTAATCCTAAGGGGTAAACCACAGGTACCCCGAATTTCTTAGGGAACAGCATCTCAAGTATCACTGTTTTCGTAGCTTACACGTTTTTTTCACAAAGACCCACAGTCATAAATTCGGTCTGGTAAACAGAAAGTACATGTCAGCTGCTCTGTGTCCTCTGGTTACAATGTCATGTTTCTGGGCTTTCTAGGCCATCAGCTCCAAGCTCTGGGCCACAAACCCAAGGGAAGTAAAATCTGCAGGGTTTTTACCACTGGAGAATTATAGGACTTACCAGGAGATGACCTTTCATAGGAAGACAAAGAGAAAAAGGAAAGGGGGGTGAATTAGAGATCAGAGCCCAACAGCTTTTGGGAACAGGGGAGTGGCACATGGCCCACGGTGGGAGGCAGAAGACACTAGAAGGTGAAGACCCAGGCTCTGGAATAAATTTCCAACCACAGAGTGTGTCCAAGATATTTCCTCGCTTTTCAGAGTGGCAAAACGATACCTACTTCCTAAGACTGAAGTGATATTTAGATGAGATAATGCAAGAATAAGCTTGGCACAGGATGTGGTATATAGGCCAAGGCTCAGTGATGTTAACGATGACATGGACAGTGGTTAATGGCCGATGTCTACTTTTTACTGTGACTTATGCATGTTCGCAGCACTGTTCACAGCGGCCAAAAAAGTGGAAACAGCCAACATGGCCCATCAACGGACAAACGGATAAGCAAACTGTGGTGAGTGTGGGCAACGAATCATAGCCGTAAAAGGGAATGAAGAACTGACTGATGTACCCTACGATGTGGGTCCATCCCAAAGCGTGACGTGAAGTGAAGGAATTCAGACGCAAAAGGTCACATGTTGTGTAATTCCACTTGTATAAAAACATCCGAAATTGGGGAATCCGTAGAGGCAGCATGCCAGGAGCACAGGGGAGCAATTTAACAGGTATGGAGTTTCCTTCTGGGGTGAATGACAACATCTGGGAACTAGACACAGGTTGTGGTTGCTCAATACTGTGGACGTATGACATGCAACTGGATTGTACGCCTTAACATGCTACGTGAATTTTGCCTCAGTGAAAACAAAGACAGCGCCAGGTAACAGAGGGAGAGAAACCACGGGAAACCAGCTGCTGGCCCACACCATCCACTGTTCCATTCCTGAAACTCACTGATTCCCACGATGATTTCCTAACCATTAAGACAAAGTTTCAAAGCGCGACTAGATGGCTCATCGTGGACTTTGAAACAACTGAGTAGAAGGCACAACCTTCCTGTTACCTCGTGACTGCTTTCTTTTCTTAGCATGAAATATACTTACTTATGATCCTATACTGCAGCTAGGCACACGCTTTTTCAAACACACTCCACCTTGCCGAAATTGCCTAAATTTGCATCTCCCCACAGTGGAGCTCACTCGTGAACCGGACAAGGTGGGGAAGGAAAACCAGCAGACGTGGCGATGACAGAGATGCCCCAGAATAGCACAGCAGTGGTGGTGGGAGCGGGGGCAGGCTCCTCTATTAGATTTCTGTCTCCCATTCAATGTAATATTGTTCCCTTCAGCTCGTAACAATCGGCTGCGAACGACGGGTAAGGAACGCTGACAGTCACAATAAAGAATTCAGCAGCCCGGATGACAGGCTGACAAGATAAGCGATGATGCTCTGTGATGCCAAGACGTGGAGGCACTTGAAAGACCCATAACGATCCCGCCCAAGTCGAAACATGGAAGGACGATTACCTGATCTAATATAGTCTTCTTCTTCTTCGAATCGGTGACCGAAGACAGCTGCATTTCGCCCATTTTCTTCATCTTCTCATCCATATCAATCTTCTGTTCCAGTTTTTTGATCTCGGACTTCAGGAGCCGGAGCGTGTCCTCTTTGTGGTGATGTCTCGCCACGGCAGCCGCGCAGGCAGAGTGGATGGCGGTGATCCAGTTTTCCAGCTCCGTCTGGCTGGTGGTCTGTAAGG